GGAGGTGGGGTGGAGGGAGGAGGGGGTGGGGAAGTCGGTGGCAGGCACTGGGAAGCCGAGCCGCCGAGCCCGAGCCGGGCGCCCTGTGTTCTGCTCCGCTCTCCGGGAAATGCCATCACTAATTTATGCACTAAAAGGAGCCGGAGGAGCTGGAGAGACGCGGGGCCGAGCCCGGGAGGCCGGCGGAGGGAGGGAGGGCGCAGGCACTGACTGCTGTGCAGCAGAAAATGGCTCCTTTCCCCTTTCCCTCCACCGAACGGCTCCATATTGCTTTTTTTTTAAAAAAAAAAAAAAAAAAAAAAAAAAAAAAAAAAAAAAAAAAATTAAAAAGCGACGAAAATGCAATTGTGTGCGTCCTGCCTCCTGGTGGTGCGGGGCGGGGAAGAAAAGAGGCAGAAAATGTTAGGAACTGTCACTGCAGCTCTTCTGGTGGGGAAATTTTTTTTTCTTTAATTTGAAATGCGAAGGCGCCGGATGGAGACAGACGCAGGCACACGCGCGCGCGCACACACACACACACACACACACACACACACACACACACAGGCATATTTTTGTGTGGCTGAGTATTTGGGGTTTGCCTGCCAGTGACAGCGGACTCCTGGGCCTCTCGGGGAGTGTGGGGGGCCGCTGGGCTGTGGGTTATCGGATTAGGGGTCAAATGCGGACTGTCTGAAGCCCTAGTGGGGCGAGGAGGAGGGGACTGCGACTTTGCTTTTGGGCTGCTTTGCACACAGGATTTCTGGTGAGGAAAGGAGCCTTGGAACATGTCGCAGTAACATGCTTAAAATTCTTGACAACTGCACAATGAACTGCTGGTTTCATTTTCCGTATCCTCCCCTTTCTTCCTGTCCCTGTGTGCTTATTTTGACCGGGGGGGGGGGACATGTATCAAGGACCCCGGTAGGCCTGCAGGAATCTACCCCCCACATTCACAGCTTTTGGTTTCTGAACAGGATTATGTCATACCCCCCTTGAGACCTCAAGCTGGCTTTTTTTTTTTACACTGTGTTCCCCCCCTTTTCACTTGCAAGATATAACACGTGGGAACCAGAGGAGAACATTCTGGATCCCCGGCTGCTGATCGCCTTCCAGAACAGGTGAGCATCCCCCCCAAGCAGCCAAGGCCTCCCTGCTCGAACCATAGGTAGGAATGGGAAAGTGAGTGACTAACGGCAGCGCTAGGGAAGGGGTAGGAGGGGGAGGGCAGAAGCCCTACCCCCCAACAGGCCCGGATGGGCCAGGCTGCGGCCTCGGCTTCTCTAACCAATGTCCTTGGCAGTTACTGCAGCTTGGGAGTGGGGGCAGGGTAGGGCTGGGGAAGGTAAGGCTTCTGTTTTGGGAGAACGGCTGGCAGAGTGTGTGTAGATGCCCCCCTCTCTGCCCCAGAGAACCCTGGGCAGTGCCTGGATCCCTGAGGCCCCTTCCCATGCCACCCTTAGAACCCCAACGCCCAGAGCCTAGGTGTTCCTTTCCCGCAGCCACTGCCTGCTTGGCACTGGCACCTTGTGGGGCAGCTCTGAGGGAGCTGGCATTGTGAAACTGCCCCGGGACGTCACGGAACTGAGTTTAACCTGTTTGTGGCTGGAGAAAAGTTGACGAGGCCTTTAGCCCCCACCCTCTCCCGAGAGGGAGCTGGGAATGGCTGACAGTGGACACTGCCTGGAGCCTGTTACCTTCACACCCCTCACTGGTCTTGGGAAGCTTGGCCTAGGGGTGTGGGTGAGAACTGCCTGGTGGTGGAGGGGTGGCTGGGGGGGCTGCTCATCCTCCAGCACACAGATGCTGGTGACTGCAGCTGCTGCAGCTGGATTCACCAATGGTGGTTGTGGTTCTCTGTTTCAGAGAGGGTAGTGGGGGAAGGGTGCAGAGGGGAGGAGTCCTTGTCGCCTTCCATCCCTCCTCTTTTACTTTGCAGTATTTCCTGTGGTGTATTTGGCACTGAAATTGTAAACTCTAGACCCTGGGAGCTAAGGACTGATGGGGAAGTTGCTCTGCGGTGACACAGGGGGGCATCAGCCAGGGAACCTGCCCCTACTTCACCTGGGAGTTCACCACCCTGTAACCATGTCAGCAGCTGATGCCATGTTGCATAATGGGTCTCTGAAGAATTATAAGGCAGGCTGTTGCAATGCCTCGCAACTTTGGAATCAGACCCCGGCCCTGCCCCAGGGCACGGCAGAACTCCCCTGGGTTGGCCTGGGGACATTGTGGTGGGGGTGGTGACTCCAGTCACTGGAGAGCAGGTCTCTAACCCCAAAATGGGCTACAACTGGCAAACTGGAGGGGTGGCCCCTCTTTCATGGAGGACTGGGCAGTGCCAGAGACAATCAATCACTCCGGTGGCCCGAAAGAGGAAAGCTCCTTGTGGATGGTCGGTGCCCCACCTGTGAGCTGTATTAATAATTTGGAAATTGAGGCTTCCCCAACAAGGAGACAGTGCTTCTGTGAGCTGCCCCCACCCCGCCCACCCCACCCACAGGCTCAGCAGGCCGGGTGTCAGGGCTGGATCACCAGGTGGCTAAGAACCTGACTAGACCCCAGCTCTAGTGGCTGCCCCGCCCCCAGACCTTAATTGGCTTATTTGCCTCTGTGTAAACAAGAGTGCAGCCTCTCCCCCTGCTTCAATGCCTGACCTTTTAGAAAGGGTCCTCTTTCCTCTGACAGCTCTCCTTTTCTGAATCTTAATGGGAGATCGGTAACATCCCATGCTCCTGGCTGGGAGAGACCAGGAAGTCAGCACACACCTGGTATTCCCTGGCCTCCCAAACCTAGTCCACATTTTGCAGCACCTTGGGCCCAAGGCTGTGCTGGCACCTCAGCTTTAAGCTGCAATTTCCTGGCAGGGTTGGGGCCACTGGGGGTGGTGCGGTTTACATGCTAGTGTCATGTGGGGTACCCCCTGGGCAGATGAAGCTGGGTGCTACTTGGGACCTTGACAGAGGTGCCCAACTGGCAGCATAGGCCACGTTCAGCCTCCAGCTGGCTCCTTCCTATCAGGTCCTTGGAAAGGGAAGGTAAGGGCAGAACAGGGACTGCTGACCTCCCCAAAGATTTCAGAGACTAACCTTGTGACCCTCCCTGTCCCCTCTACAGGGAACGACAGGAGCAGCTGATGGGATATCGAAAGAGAGGGCCCAAACCCAAGCCACTGGTGGTACAGGTGAATATTTTCAACTGGTCCTGGGGTCCCAGTACAAGCCTTTCCCTGAACACTGCTACCCAAGTTACTTGCAGTTGCTGGGTGTGAAGGGAAGATACCCCAACTCCACTTCCTTTCTCCTAGACCTCCTGGCCCTGCCCCCTGTGAAGCAGCTTCCACTCCACCCTTGGGAGCAGGAACATTCCTGATGTTCCCAGCATACCATAGAGCTGACCTTTTCCCTCCTCTCTCCCCCTTAGGTACCCACCTTTGCCCGTCGCTCCAATGTCCTGACTGGGCTCCAAGACTCCTCTGCTGACAACCGTGCCAAGCTGGAGCTGGGCACACAGGGCAAGGGCCAGGGGCACCAGTACGAGCTCAACAGCAAGAAACATCACCAGTACCAGCCACACAGCAAGGAGAGGTCGGGTAAGCCGCAGCCCCCAGGCAAGAGCGCCAAGTACTACTACCAATTGAACAGCAAGAAGCACCACCCCTACCAGCCTGACCCCAAAATGTATGACCTGCAGTATCAGGGCGGCCACAAGGAGGCATCCAGCCCCACCTGCCCAGACCTGGGCACCAAGAGCCACCCTCCTGACAAGTGGACCCACGGTGCAGCAGCCAAAGGCTACCTCGGGGCAGTGAAGCCCCTGGCTGGAGGGGCGGGAGCTCCAGGCAAGGGCTCGGAAAAAGGCCCTCCCAACGGGATGACACCGGCCCCTAAAGAGGCGGTGACGGGCAATGGAATTGGGGGCAAAATGAAAATCGTCAAGAACAAGAACAAGAACGGGCGCATAGTGATTGTGATGAGCAAGTACATGGAGAACGGCATGCAGGCGGTGAAGATCAAGTCCGGAGAGGTGGCCGAGGGCGAGGCGCGCTCCCCTAGCCATAAGAAACGCGCTGCAGAGGAGCGCCACCCTCCAGCCGACAGGACTTTTAAAAAGACGGCAGGGGGTGCAGAGGAGAAGAAGGCTGAAGTAGCCTGCAAGCGCAGGGAGGAGGAGGCGCTGGGGCCCGGAGACCCTCAGCCCCAGGATCCAGGACCTCGAAAGCTCTCCCCAACCAAGGAGGCCTTTGGTGAGCAGCCGCTGCAGCTTACTACCAAGCCGGACCTGCTGACCTGGGACCCAGCCAGGAGCTCGCAGCACCCACCCACCCATCACCATCACCACCATCATCACCACCACCACCACACGGTCGGCCTGAACCTCTCCCACGCGCGGAAGCGCTGCCTCTCTGAGACCCATGGCGAGCGTGAGCCCTGCAAGAAGCGGCTGACGGCCCGCAGCATCAGCACACCCACCTGCCTGGGGGGCGGTTCTGCTGCAGAGCGCCCGGCCAACGTGTCACCCCCTACCACCACCGCCTCTCTCCCGCAGCCCGAAGTCATTCTGTTGGACTCCGACCTGGATGAGCCCATAGACTTGCGCTGCGTCAAGACGCGCAGTGAAGCAGGGGAGCAGCCCAGCTCCCTCCAGGTGAAGCCCGAGGCTCCAGTCGCGGCCTCAGTGGTGGCACCGCAGGCCTCTGCAGCCGAGAAGCCTCCGGCTGAGGCCCAGGACGACCCCGCGGAGCCCCTGAGCGAGTTCAAACCCTTCTTTGGGAATATAATTATCACTGACGTCACAGCGAACTGCCTCACCGTCACGTTCAAGGAGTATGTGACGGTGTAGTGGGGAGGAATCCCAAAAAAGCAAGCGCTTTCCAGCGAGGCTGAGCGCCTACAACCTGGGAAAAGCTCCCGAGGGGAAGACACCCTGGCCCAAGCCGGCCGGGCCTCTGCTCCAGCCCCCGGGATCCCGGTTGAGGTGTCGGTCTTGCATCGGTCTCCTCCCACTCGGTGCCTGCGGTCTCTAGCCGCCACCTCCCTTCCCCTTCAGGAGACCCGAGTCCCCTAGCTTCCCCACCCCATGGACCTGCGAACTGACTGACCCAACAGCCCCGAAGCGGTCTCAGAGTTATAGTATTATATTTTAACCGTGCTAACTTGTCAAGTGCTGGCTCTACTCCCGTTTGTACGTGGTGTTATTATTGAAATGTATTGTTTGAGCTCAAAAGGCCCGACCACCCCCACTTCGGGCTGAAATATATATATAATATATATTTATTTGTAGGTATTTATATATTGAAATATAAAAACCTAGATTTATGGAGTTTCCTCTAGATCTTGTTATATTCTATATCAAACTATTTTCTGTTAACCTTTCCCTTCATTCAGTATTTCGGTTGGCTTTATTTCCCCCTTCCAAGAACTTCAATACCGGTAACCTTGGTATATATTTTTTGATACTGTACACATGGATGTGTTGTTTCTATGTGCAAAAAAAAAAAAGTTTGTTAAAAGGCTAAAGAATCTCTCTAGACCTGCTGCTAGGATGTCTAAACTATAAGCTTCCGACTATTACCTGCTTGAATGTAAATATTAAATGGAGATGTTGAAGGTGCAGTTCAGTGTCCGAGATTAGCTGGGGGTGGGGTGGATGTCGGAAGTCTCCTAACCCTCTTCCCGTCTAGATCTCTTGGAGGATGCTTAATGCATCCTGTGCTAAACGTTAAACCTTTGCACAACCTCGGTCTGGTTTCTGTACGGTGCACGCATTGGAAGGGGACCCAATGTGGTTAAAATCGAGAGGTG